TGGTGGCCTGGGCCACTTTGATGGCCTTACCATCCAGGGACTTGCCGTTCAAGTCACGAACGGCGGCCTTGGCGTCCGCGGGGCTCTCGAAGGTGACGAACGCGAAGCCTCTGGACTTGGAGGTCTCTCTGTCTTTCATGAGGAGCACCTCGATGATGCGGCCATACTTGCCGAAAGTGGCCTCAAGCCCCTTCTCGTCAGTTTCGGCGCTGAGCCCCCCAATGAAGAGCTTCCCTGGGCGGTCGGCTTCAGCCATAGCGGGTTTCGCAGGCCGCGTGGCGAGAAACAAGATGGTGAGGAGACGGCGATGGCGGCGCTTTGTGAGAGCCCGCTGGTCGACGGTGCCTCCTACTGGTTGGCTGGCGCGTCGCGGAGCCCAGAACCCCAGCTTCCCCTGCGCGTCGGTTTGCGGGGACGGCGTCCCGTGTGGTCCGCAAACTTGTGGCTGCTACGGGTTGTGATTGGCTGGCAGACCCTGCAAGCTGCCCGCCGTCAGAAAGTCGGGTTGGGGCCTTCACCCCGGGGTTAAACTTGGACGGTTGACCCCAGCCGGCAACGTCTTCAGCGCAGCGACTAAATGAAAGCCGTTAGGTGGGCGGGGGGGGGGAATATTTCCCCATTCCTCGTAACGAGAATTGCGTTATATTCCAATCCTAGTTACCAGCGCCATTTTCAAACAAAACAAATATTAATTGAATAATGAAAATAGGAATTAGTTTTAAAGTCTTTAACATTTAATAAAAATGCAGGGGTTGTTTGTTTGTTTTGTTTTGTTTTTCTGCACGTCAAAAGGGAAGAGAGACTTGGTGGATTGGTGGGGGTGTGCGGGGTGTTTGGTGAATCCAGGTCATTCTTGGGCGTGAACCGTTTTTTCTTATGTACCATTTTCTCCAATTTGTCATCTTTTAAAGGTTTATAGTTATGTTACATTCAAACTGTTCTTAACAGAAAAAGAAAAAGCACAGAAAGTTGACTTTAGGACGAAAGGCAAAACATGAGAAGAGTGGGACCCAATGCCAGTCCCACCTGGATTCTTCACTGCAGGCAGCAGTTTGAGCCTGACACCCTAGAACTTTCGATCCTTCTGGAAAGAGACAGCAATCTCAGCAAAGCAAAACTCCTGGGTTCATTCAAACAAGTTTTATAATTCATATTTGTTCTTTATGATATTCTCTGAATAGAAATTAATGTAAAAAGTAAGGATGAGCAAATCTGTGCTTGAAATAGTAAAATTTAGCCAGGTGTGGTGGCGCAGGCCTGTAATCCCAGCACTTGGGAGGCTGAGGCAGGAGGATCCCAATGAGTTCGAGCTAGGCTGAGCTACATAGTGAGTTCCAGGTCAGTCTCAACTATATAGTGAGACCCTGTATCAAAAAAAAGTGGGGGACAGGAATTTAGCTCAGCGGTTTGGTGGCCTGTCTTGCAAGCGCATAAGACTCGAGTTCAATCCCCCGTACCAAAAAAAAAAAAAAAAAAAAAAAAAAAAAAAAA